TGAGCATGTTTCTAGGCTCTTTCTTTGTTGTGGGTTGATTCAAATCCGACACATATGCTAGAGAGTCGGAAAAAGAAGACGTAGAGTCGAGTTCGAATTCAGGTACAGTTTGTGACGTTCACTTTCGCATAGATACCATTATAAAATGTATACATCCATTGCATCTCTCCATGGGTTTATGGGGTTTTCTTGCTTTGAGAATCCTAGGAGAAAAAAATCTCTAAAATCAAAACCATCCCAAAGAAGTATATGCCTATATATATGTATATGTCAACCTATATGATTCTACGACCATAATGGGTTAAGGATATTGTGACTTTATTATATTTCTACTTCTATTAATTTACTTCTTGCAGTTTATGTTTAGATACTAAGAAAATCATAAAAACAAAACTATTCTCTGGATCTAATTAAACTGCAAATGGTTAATAATCCGTAACATAAAAGAAAACAATCAATGTTTCTTTCTACTTGACTTAGCGTTTGGAACGCATATTTTGTTATTTTGATTCCATTGTCGTTTTTTCCAAACATATGGTAAGACACTACCAAGATATAAGAACATCTGTACTTGTTCTTTGATCGCATTCCCAATTTGCTTTTTGTCTTCTTCTGTAGTATATTGTTGCTGGGCTCAAATAAGACGACGAACACTTATATATATAAACATCTTTATTCTCCTAGCTGCAGTGAATGGGTAGAGTGAGGGAGAATCAGAGAAGTTAGGATTGCGTATACAGAAAATTGACGGTGGCAGACATTAGGTGAACCTCTAGCTAGCCTCTCTGGCCAGATCAGGAATCGGCTTGGTTGTATAACATTTAGACGCCTACGCAAATTCATTTGGCTTCGGCTTTTTCCTACACAACATCGTGTACTCATGCCTCTCTCAACATGGGCCCACGCAAGTACGTATTTCCTTCCGATCAGAACACCTTTGAGCCTTGTTTATTTTAGCCAACGTATGGATTTCCTTTTTATTCTATCACCAATTCTGATTTCTGCTCAAACGCTGATGCAGCGGATGTATGGCCAAAGGTCTTTCCTCAAATGATATCCAACACTTCAAGATTTATTTTAAGTTGTTTCGTTTTTTCTCGACTTCCATTATCTATTGCCTAGGAGTTCCTGAACTTTCCTTTTTTGACGGCCACTGCGTAATCGGCGTATGTTGTTAAAATTGCGCCGATCAACAGTAAAACCTGATAGGGATTTCAAGTCTTTTATATAAAAATCTTAACGGATCTTGGTCATTTTATCTTGCTGACAACCATATAGTCTGTCTCCTTAAAATCAATGATTAGTCCTTTATTTTCGCTTTCATTAACTCATTAGCTGCCACGAGTCCCATTTTTCGATCTGTTAAAATTAAACTCACTACATGCTATGCCTTGTATTTACATTGAATTGCTTACATATATTGCATTTGCAGAGGTATATTTTACAACACTTAGCCTTCAAAGTTTTTATTATTAGCCGTAAGAAGACACTTTCTGTCGTAATTTTACATTACACGAGTAGAAAAATAATGACTATTTTGAAAAGTATTATTTTATTATTTCTAATCAATGTTATTTTTTGATGTTTTATACACTTATATATTTGATGTTCTAGTTTCTATAAAAATGACAAAGGTAACTACTGAAATTAAACATAAGGAATAAATAAACTCTTAAGACACCTGTCTGGGCCTAAAATGCGCATTAAAAATATTAGCAGTTAATGGGTTAACAACATTACATTGGAGGTTCTGTAATTTTCCTTCTGTGTCTACCAGCAACACAAGCACATCTACTTATGATATTAAGGGTGCGCTAACTGATAATAAATCCCAGTAGAGTGTTTATCTCCATTATTATAGACTTGATGTAGAGGTTGAATTAATCAAGAGAGAAGACACGGCCTTATCTTGTCTTTCTAATTTTGCGTACTTACTCTGTTCGTTTTCTCTCTATGTATTGGCGGTTTACACATAGTAAATGTTCTGGATCATTTTAACATTCTTCTCAGATAAGTTCAAATAGAATTCCATGACGTACCTTTTCAAATGTTTTTACACAATCTGTAATACATAAGTGTATATAGTTCTGCATTTGTATTACTCTCCCTGATATCATTCTAATCATAAATATAAAATATTTGGTCCAGATTTCTCGACAAACGCACATTGCTCTAGTCTTATTTCTGCTTCTCGTTCTATTGTGTGTATTGAAATTTGAATTATTCGCTTGAGTATGTCGTTAATTAAGCTGATTATCCGATGGTGACAGCATTCATTTGCACCTTGTTTTTTTGTTTTTTTTATTGACAAAGCTAAAAAGCTAATCCACTAATATCTTCCCGTATTACACTGTTGTCGTATATTTCAGTTATTATTTCTGTGATCTGTTTGATGCAGAAAATCGTTGAAGGATACGGTGAAGTAATGGATAGCGACACGGATTGAGGAATCGGAGAGCCGAGTTCGAATCACAGCCGAATCTATTACGTGTTCATACCCTAGGGAAAATTATGAATCCTCTTCTATTCCCAACTAGCTATGGGTAAATATCAGAAAGACCAGGTTCTATACCCTTGGATGGCAACAGGTCTACCGCAGATAGAAATAGCATCCTACTGCGGGAAAAAAAATCTGCCGCATCGAAAGATACATGATAGTCTAAGCATATATTACGTATGGCATATAACTGATTGACTGTATTTCTCTTTCTATCCCATTTGGCCGAGCTACATTTTTTTTGTATTTATCTTGTCTAGCCAACCTTAATTCGGGCTTTAATATTTCATTTCCTTCCAAATTTGTATGTATTGTAGGTTACTCTCTTTGACCTTGAAATAGTTCTCCAACATATTCTCTCTATATATCGGAGTATTTTCCTATTTTCAGTGTGCTCTCTTTTGATTTTATACAACCCGTTGATGATAATAAATTTTGACCTGTTAACTCTTTTATTCTTTCTAATTCGGGTAGACAATAAACTAGACAGCACAATGCCACTGATCGAAAGATTGGATGTTTTCAGGATCGTGTTGTGCCCAGGTTCCCCCGTTTCCCGGGGTGGTAGCATCTAATAGAGTACAAGCTAAGGGCAAATAGTTAACTGCCAATCAAAAATCTAAACATAAGGTAAGTATAAAAATATATTAGGTTGGTGCAAAAATAATGACGTAAAAATGTCGTTTTTTAACGTTGAAAAGTACGTCAAAAAACGACATTATTACGTCATTATTTTTGCACCAACCTAATATTTTCGTGGTAAAATACCAATAATACAATTTAATCTGTGTATCTTATAATTAAGATTTAACTTATCGATAATAGATCCTGTTATAGTATCCAGCTCCGGTATGAACGTTTCCTTACGCCCATTCCTGTTCTGTGTCCACGTTCAATTTATCTTTTATCCGTATGCAGATAGTTTACCTCCAGTATAAATGATGCATTATTCTAACGTTTATCTCATATAGATCTCGTTTTTATAACAGTTCAAATCTTTGCAATAAACCTTTTGTGTCATCTATAATATCTAAGTCTATATTCTGCTGCATTTTTATTTATCTCACCGATACCATTCTGATTATCAATGTAGCGTTTTTTGTTCCAGTGTCATTGACAAAGTCGCAATATTGTTGCCTAATTTGCGGTTCAAACCTGCTACGCTACTCATCTGAATTCGGATTATTAGCTTGGTCATGTGGCTTAATGAGCCTATTGTCCAGAATGAATCTACTAAGGTCTTCTTAGAGGTATTCGCCCATCTCGCCACGGCACAATTTAAAACAAGGTCAAGTTTAATGTGCATACCCGTGCGCGTCCACTCTGGCCAGTGCCATAAATAGCTAAGCGCCCGTATCGATGTTATTATCGACCACCCGGTACTTAGTTCAATGAAAGATTTTGTACTACCGCGGGCTGTATTTGTTGCGCTAGGTCCGGGGACAGAGATATTACTGAGAGATGATATACTATTTACCTGTTCCAGGTGATCTCTTCTTAGATGGCACCATTTATTATTTCTGTGATCTTGCCAATGCAGCAATCGTCTAAGGATGAGAGCAATTCTGTTACAATATCCATTCTTTCTGATTTGGAGCAAGTACTGACCTTATTTCACAGCTTCAAACATGTGTGTATAGATGTTTCCCTCATTTATTGTGAAATAGTTCATCAACGTATTCGGATGAAATACGTTATCATCAACGGGTTTTATAACATCAAAGGATGGGACACTGAAAATAGAGGAAAAAATAATCCAAGGTTTGAGCGAATAGGTTGGAGAACTATTTCCCGATAAGGGAGAGAAAAGTCAGGAACAGACAAACACTTCTTTATTGTGAGGAATAAACAAAGTAGTCAGTGTGACATTGTATTTGCTGTTTCATATACGACAAGAATATAGAATCTGAAAAAATGCTAATATCTGAAAAGAGATTTGAAAAAGCTACGAAATATGATAGTTGAAGGAATTCTTGTAGTGATGTGCGCGCTTACCACATCGCCTAGAAATTTGAAAGAACGTTTAGGGAAAATTGGAATCTAGACCAAGAATGTAAGCCTTCAGAAAACGGACATGATTGACGCTTCAAGAATGCTCCGAAAATATATTTTTTTTAATTTTGAGGAGTCTTGTCGACACCATGCCACAAGAATAGAATCCCCAGTGAATACGCCAATGGGCGACAATATAATAATAATACTAATATTACTAATAATAACAATAATAATAATAATATGTTTTTATAAAAATGATCAGTGGAAAATTGTTAAAATTTCTGACCATACCTCTCGGGTTGGGACACGGAAGGAAATGTGTATGCAACAGAAATAAAAAGAAATAATAATAATAATAATAATAATAATAATAATAATAATAATAAGAAGAAGAAGAAGAAGAAGAAGAAGAAGAAGAAAAAAAAAGAACAACAACAACAACAACAACAACGACAACATCAATAACAAATTCTGAAGTAGGTTTATAAGATTGTTGGAATACCCACAAATGTCATTTACTGTTCATTTTTCCATTTTTCTGCCTCTTCTATCAACAAATGGTTTTCTCACTATGCATTTCCTGACTAAAGCATTTGCGTGATTCGTAATTGACGGAATGCAAACAATTCTTTTGAAAAACGGACAACTACATGAAAGGATGAATAACAAACTAATACTCAAAATAATGATAAAATTCCACGCAATTATTTCGCAATTATTACTTGTTAGGCTAAATAAAGTCAAGAAGGAGGAAATATATAAATCTAAATCTACAAATAGAATTCAAAAAAAATATTAGAAATTAGTGGATCCGCGCGGTTAAGGGAGTACGGATGATTTTGATAATAAAATAAGAGGATTAATCTAGCGATTAAGTAATCTCTTTCTCTCTCTCTCTCTGTCTCTCTCTCTCTCTATCTCTCTCTCTTTCTCTCTCTCTCTCTCCTCTCTCTCTCTCTCTATATATATATATATATATATATATATATATGAATGAATGAAGACGTAGCGATTAGACTCGATATTGCGCCGCTCGTTCAGATATTCCATGGTGGAACTCATCCAAGTTTCCTTTACCCATAGGACTGTGCCTCCGATAGCCACGACTACTATCACCAAGCCGCTCCATCCAAAATATTAGAAGCCGGTTCAAGCAAGGATTTACAAATGATAGAAATTAAGGAGGATTTAAGATAATTAAGTAATTCATCGAGTCTAGAGGAAACTGCTGATGAGTAGGACGAAACGGCCGTCCAGCGTTTCCTGCATTCTGTTGAGGTGTCTTTGCTTCTAAATTTGCTTTGACTCGATGAATTATGATATTATATATATATATATATATATATATATATATATATATATGTGTGTGTGTGTGTGTGTGTGTATATATATATATATATAGTATACCTGGTCACTCGTATTCGAGGATAACCGTCTACTAGGGCGTCTAGTTAATCCCTATTGCCGACGCTTGCTCAGGCGCATTTGCGTTTATTCAACACGCACAGCAACTATACTTAGCAGACTTTACTTACAGTTTCTGGGAAAGATCATGTTATCTAGTGTGATCAAAAATGTGAACAAGGCCAGCACGCTCGAGCCCTCTGCCACGATGACTCGGGTCAACCTGTGGTATGGTTTTCAGGTACTTTCCAAAACCCTCCTTCCTGACAAGTTGTCCATGGTGAGATTCGAACGTTCTAAGAGAACGTAACACATTAATAGATAGATAGATATGAAGTGACCTATATATATATATATATATATATATATATATATATATATATATATAAATTAATAATAAAAAAGGACAGTAAGATATATAATCCGGTGTTCTTATAGATATTTTATTTTTACAAAATAGTGCTCAATGTAAATTTACAGAGCATTAATATTATAAATTAATTGATTTAAAATATGTTTTTCCACTACACAGTTCTAAGCATGTTTCAAAAAATGGAAGCTAAAAGCCACGAATTTAATTTTGTAATTAAATTAAAGACATTAGTTCCAATTCATCCTCAAGCGAATTAAATTCGGGGCTTTTAGCTTCCATTTTTTGAAACATGGTTAGAACTGTGTAGCGAAAAAAACATTTTAAATCAATTAATTTATATATATATATATATATATATATATATATACTCGAATCTCCCCTTGAATTCGACGTATGAGGGTCAAGCAGATCAGTTCCTAGGAAACCGGCAACCCGACACCAGCACATGAGATTTGATTATAGTGGTGAAGGATTTGTGCAGACCCATCCACACGTTTTTTAGGACCGAATACAGAAACCTGGTGCACTATGTGCCACAAGGCCCCAAATGTCCCTCCGCAGGTTTTGAATTCAGAGTTTTCCTTTTCCTAGTTCTGTTGTCATCCAAGTCTATAGAACCCAGCCTGCGCTGCTATTTACCCATAACTGGAGGGAAAAGAAGAGGATTCATAACTTTCCTAAGGGTATTAGCTCCTAAGTGAATATAATGGATTAGACTGGAATTTGAACTCGGCTCTCCGATTCCTCCATCCAAGCCGCTATCCATTAGCCCACCGCAATATGTATAAAAACAGGGTGTGATGGGTAAATTGTCGCCATATTATATTTGTCTGTTCTGATTTTGTCAGCTGCGTACTATAGTAAGGTCAGTTGGGCAACGTTTGTGAGAATAAGTACATCATGTCGCAATTAGCACTACCAGAAATTCGGAAAGGACATGTTGTACGACTTAGCATTCACACCGGAAACTTCAACACGAACTTTTCGCAGTGTTTGGGTGTCAATCTGCGGACAATGCAAACAATTCGGAAAGAGTTAGATTCGTTTACTAGAGATTTCGAAAGTACGCCATCTTGTAAATCTCGCTCTGACTATGCTTTTAAGAAAAGGACTACATAATTTGTTGCTGGGGGTCTCAGACTCGACAAACAGACCTATGCCAAGAGGATTGATGTGGTAGTGATGTAGTGATGCCCTCGTGGTCAGTCAATTTCTGCGACCACATCAACCTTTACATCTGGCCACCTAACTGCCCAGACTAATTGATTATTATGTGTGAGTGAGAGACCAACAAAACACTTTGTAACACTAAAGATGAAGTGAAGGCAATGGCAATATTCTCCAACTTAAAAAAGGATAGCAACCAGAAGAAATGCAGGAGATTCGGAATTCGTTTGGTGCCCATGGTTGAAGCCAATGGCGATTTTATTGAATACATTTAATGTTAAGGATGTCAAGATGCCCAGAAGAGATGCGGAAGATTCCGAAGTCGTCTGTAGGCCATCGGCGATTTCATTGAATAAATGTATTCTTTAGGCTATCAAGTTTTTTTGCGGAATTTTGGTAAATATATCTGTGAAAATAAGACGTCAGTGTTATTTTTATTTTTGTGTACTTTAGACGACCATTTATCCATCTTAAGCTGTATATATATATATATATGCATATATGAACAGAATGAGAAGGAGGTAGATATCCACATGCATGGCCTACGGGTATATGTCCGCGAACATCTTCCATTGGGTAAGGAACTCTCTCTTCAATCTCTAAAAATGAAACATGTTAGATTAATATAAGTTTGCTATTTTTATTTTTTTTATTTATCATATGTCGGATTCCGATTCATATTTCATCTGATTTAGATCTATAAATCATATATATATATATATATATATATATATATATATATATATATAAATACACAAAGACATATATATATATATATATATATATATATATATATATATATATATATATATATATATATATATCAGTCTGTACCTATCTATTCTGTTCATCTATTTATCTATATATCTACCTGATTCTGTTCATCTATGTATCTATAAATCTCTGTCTCATTCTGTCATATATATATCTGTGGGTGTGTGCGTCTGTGTGAGTGTATGTGTGCGTGTTCCTATACCATATATATATATATATATATATATATATATATATATATATATATATATATATATCAGTCTTTTTATATCTATCAATCTCTATATCTCATTCTTTTCATTGATCTGAGTCTTTTCAGATATATCTAATATTGTTCATATATATTTAACATCAAAGTATATAGCGAGTATTCGAATCCATACTCTTCATTTATCTATCTATCTATCTATCTATCTATCTATCTAGCTATCTAGCTATCTGTCACACTGCCTTCCTACTTCTTTTGCTCTATTTATCTATCTACAATATGCCTTTATCCACTTATCCATACATACGCACATCCCTGTCGATATCACTGCGTTATCCTATATCAATCTTTTCTAAAATGATCTATTCGTGTTTATCAACCTTGAATAAATAGATAAGACGTCAGAATAGATGAGGAGAGAGACGGCACTGTAGAGGAGAAAAACAACTCATCACGAAAGAAGAGAAAAGAAATGAACTCTTCAATGCAATCATTAAAACTTGCCGCAATTATTTCCTGGCTTCTCTTGGCAATCGAGCGCTTTGAAGGCGCGAATGACTAGAAAAATAAAATTCAAACAATAATCAACGACTTAGGATGCATGCACGGCAGTTAAGTCAATGCTTTCGAGCTGCGCGCCACCAGGCAGAGATGGAAAATGATTTCCCCTGGGAGCCAAGCAAAACTAAATAAGGAGAATAGAAGAAATTGACACAGGATCAATTTTCAATGTACGAAGTGTGGCGAAAACATGCAAACACCTGGATCCAATTTTCTTTTTTTCAGTTTTTCTTGGAAACTCCTATCTATCTATCTATCTATCTATCTATCTTAGTCTGTTCATATCTATCTTTATGATTTTGTTCCTATCTATCTATCTATCTATCTATCTATCTATCTTAGTCTGTTCATATCTATCTTCATCATTTTGTTCCTATCTATCTATCTATCTATCTATCTATCTATCTATCGCAGTTTGTACATCTATCTATCTATCTATCTATCTATCTATCTATCTATCTATCTATCTATCTATCTATCTATCTATCTATCTATCTATCTATCTATCTATCTATCTATCTATTTCTCTATCAAAGTCTGTTCATATCCATCTATCTTTCTATCTATTTCTGTTCATATCTATCTATCTATCTATCTATCGCAGTTTATTCATATCTGTGTCTGTCGATGTTCGCTGTTCGCATGAATAAGTATATCAAAGAGAGTTTATGTCTATGTAAGCCAGTGCGTACGTGTACATCGATATACCTCTGTGACAGTATCTATCTATCTATCTATCTATCTATCTATCTATCTATCTATCTTAGTCTGTTCATATCTATCTTTATGATTTTGTTCCTATCTATCTATCTATCTATCTATCTATCTATCTATCTATCTATCTATCTTAGTCTGTTCATATCTATCTTTATCATTTTGTTCCTTTCTATCTATCTATCTATCTATCGCAGTTTGTACATCTATCTATCTATCTATCTATCTATCTATCTATCGCAGTTTGTGCATATCTATCTATCGCAGTTTGTACATATCTATCTATCTATCTATCTATCTATCTATCTATCTATCTATCTATCTATCTATCTATCTATCGCAGTCTGTTCATATCTATCTATCTCTCTATCTATCGCAGTTTATTCATATCTGTGTCTGTCGATGTTCGCATGAATAAGTATATCAAAGAGAGTTTATGTTTATGTAAGCCAGTGCGTACGTGTACATCGATATACCTCTGTGACAGTATCTATCTATCTATCTATCTATCTATCTATCTATCTATCTATCTATCTATCTACCGTGATAGAAAATTAAATTGCAAACCCCTGAATGTAGGCTTCGCATAGCTGGAGATTATGCATCAAGGGGATATAGTTAGATTATTGTAAATGATCACATCTACCGATCAATATTTTCGCAGCTAACCCAAATACGATTTGTATCAATTGTTATTAGACCCTTATATTAATATTCAACATATCATCCTTGGGCATTAAGGTATACCTCTGCACTCTATATGCTTACATACTCTGCGCATACAATATGAATACAAACGTACAGATGGTGAAGAACATCCTGCAATATATTATTCTGTGACACTTGCAAATGTTGACGCAGGGTTATTCACAAAATCAAAAAAAAAAAGATCTGTAATTTTATATATCCTGACTCCAGTCACATTCCCACAGACGCGATGTGGCTTCACTCTGTTTGTCTACAAATATTTTCATGCCAACTGCTCTGACGATCATTTTTCCTTGGTGCCCCGTTTGCGTGAATTTAAGTGTGCTACTAGATTGGTGACTAGGTCCCACTCTTTTACTGTTGAAATAGCTAAATGCACCTGCCACTTCTACTCCGACAGTTTCTTTTCTCGTATTTCCTGTCTGTGGAAATCCATAATGGTTACTTGCTTCCCCGATAACTACAATCTTCAAAAATTTAAATGCAACATCAATCACTATCTTCTATCTTCTCGAATACCATTCGTTTCTTTTCATTTTGTCCTTTTTTCAATCCCTCCTATTCTCAGTCATTTCTTTCACTTTCACTTTCGCTTTCACACTCTCAAACCTACTGCGTAGTAGTGGCATTCCCGCTTTGCTCTGGGTGAAATGATAAAAGAATTCAGCTCACTGATTATAACCCCGAGTAGGGGATTCATTTCCTTTACTGTCACTGTAAAGTTGAATAAATCTGGTGAGGATACACAACCTTGTCTTCTATTCTAATTTCTAATATCGACTCATTTTTATTTCCGTATATAGGCAGATTCTTCACAGTAGTGCTGCATTATTCTGACGTCATTCTCCAAATAGGTCAGGCCTCCCTAGCTGTTCAGTTAGTTCTTTGAACGTTACTTCTATACAATCAATGCCTTGAACTTCAGTAAAAGACATGTTCCGCTATTCCAACGCACCTTCGGATTTCGGTGCCATATTTTTCGTCCTCTTTTTAAATGCTTCACATATATTTAAATTTCTCTAGATTGATTCTGCTATCTCCAGTTCGTAGTACGCCTCTCGGCATCTCCCTCTTGCTGACAACCATATATTTTTTTCTCCTTACAGTTCTTAGTTAATCTTTTTTCTCGCTTTATTTTGATTCATGCTTTAGTGTTTCCTGTACTTTCCTTTTTATATGTGCTACAAACATTGTTTCATCTGATAATCTTACGTTGTTAAGATTTTGACCGCCAATAATGAATCCTTCTCTTTCAATTTCACTCCCTGTAGCACCCTCAGATTTCCTGGCATTTCCGCCTTGCTAGGATTGAATCGATTAAAACAATAATAAATTAAACAATGGTTTTAGGTGGGTTAACTAAAGGAATCGATTACGTTTCAATAAATATCTTATATAAATAGCCTTCATTACGGTTAGTAAAGAATACTGTTTTATCCTAATGGCTATATTTCAAATTAGTTCTAGATGCTATAAAGTAGAAATAACTGTCCAACCGAATGCAGTTATTTGTAGCTATTCCATAGTGTTGCTTCATGGAGGACAGGTGAGGGAAGATACGTTGAGTTGTACGGACCTCTTATTGGCTGGGAATTATACTGCAGCAAGGATTTCTGATTCCCCCCAACCACACCACCCATCTCGTTTTAACAGATGAACGAGATGAACATTATTCTGGGAATACATAATTTTCATTTATAATGCCCTTAACATCTTCGTGCCAAGGGCCGCGTCTGTACTTTATAGGAGAATAAATCTGGGGAAAAGGCCTCTCCCCAGACTTTATGTAGCACACGCAAACGACAATTACTTGACTAAAAGCAGAAACAGCCGTCATCTATGAAAACTACTATATCATTCCAGGTAAACTTATTGTGGCACCGAACGGAGGTGTAGATTAAATGGCCAAATGGTTAGAAGGCATACTCTACAACAATGATAGCTAGGTTCGAATCTCAACATGAATTCTATCGGCATGTAGAGGCGAACCCAGCGGGTGCCTCCTTGGGAAAGTGCTTGAAAAACATACCACAGGTGGACACAAGCCTTTTGAGTGAAACTGGATAGGCAGAATGATTTGGGAGCCGTCGGTAATTGAG